CAAGATGTAGGCGTCATTCACGTCACCAACATGGAAGGCGTGTTTTGTAGCTGCTGCACACAACCAATGCCATTGGCATAGTGTGGGGAGTCACATGCTTCAAAAATCTCCTAGATTCTAACCATTTACCTCAACTTCACATGCGCAGCACACACGCAAAATCTCATTTGCTAATGCTTAATACTTTTTGCGCATTACTTGATTGGTAAAGGGGGAATTAAGGAGAAGGAAGGAACAGCTATGGATGAATTGTAGTGCTGGGTTGTACGCAGAAGTGTCTGGGAAGTTGCATTAAGCGAAGGACTAAAGAAAGGCCTTAGCATCAACATAGTCACCACAGTTTAATTGTAAGTTAAAGCGTAGGAGCAAGTGGAAGACTACGTGTGGGAGAATTGAGTGGTGATTAGAAATGCTTACCACTGTTAGTTACGTTGCTTGCCTTCATCCTACTAATTCCCACATAACGTCTTCAAATGCAAATGTAGTCCAAGGAGAGTCAACGGATGAGATTCGTTCGTATCAGTTGTCGTCTAGACGGAGTACACATAAAATAAAGGATTAACTTGACCTCGGTGAAGGGGCTCAAAACTGTCTGAGCCTATCTGTCCCCCGTGAAGCATGTTGAATGAATTTTCTGCCTATGATTTCAACGAAAGGCTTCTTACTGACAGCTGTCAAAGCTAGTCAGGCAGCTCTTTAATAAGCGTGCATCTTGCCTGTAATTAGAGTAGCGTTGTTAAGGAATGACCAGATGATCACGCCAGAGGTAGTCTGACCCTGTCGACAGATACAACTCCTTACTTATATAGCAAATATCAAAAAAGAGACTAGTTTTACAGGAAATAGAATGCAAGAAGGATTTTCGCTCATGTCATGCTAAAAACCGGCCATCAATTTAATGAATCATGAGGGTCGCCCACTGAGTAAATTATCTTGATAACGTTTGCCACTTCGCCAAGATCTTGGTCAAAAATGTTAAAAGACATCATTTGCATACTTAAGGAATAACGCCTGGAGGCTTAAGGTTCGCAGCATGGCCGCCAAACTCTGTGAATTATGTAACAGCAGATTTGCAGTGTCACTAGTTGGATCACGCGAACCGCTAAAGCATAGCTGATTTGGTAATTAGCCAGAGGGTGGAGCAGTGCAATGTTTGGGGTTAATAATAGTGGTAGCACTACTGTCACTTCAAATCACCTCACTTGTGCAAAAATTTTGTTTTGTATTTCCTTTTTATTCACATTGTCGTAGAACCTCCCAATATCCTCTTCCCCTCTGTCCGTGTTCCATTCTACATCATTGCAATCCTCTTTATGACCCCTCTTTATAACTCCTGCAGAGCCACAACTCTACCCAGGAGTGGCAGTGAACCGCAGAGGAGGTTTTGAAAGAAGTCTTTGCTGTTTCCGCAGTTAGAAGCCAATCACCTCCCCAAACCTCATGTCTTATAGAATGATTGTATGGCTTAATAAAGATTTTCTTTAAATCAAGCCTTTCTTTTCTGCTTTTAAATGGGCAGCATTACGCAGAAGGTCACTTCAACAGCAATAAGGATTTGGATGGGTGGGTAAGTGAATGGGTGTGATGGTTGTAACATTATACCACTTCCGTTGTGCCATCACGTCATCACGTTAGCACTTTCTCCATGCAAAACCATTAGAATGTGGGTCACCCAAGAGGATACAATGAGTAACTGCGAAGGGTGATGACTTCTCTGCCCTATGTATGGGGAAACTGGTAGTTATTTACTAGCTTAGAGGCCTCTCCTTTCATTTCAATCACTCATTTGTCTCACATTACCTTGAGTTAAGGCACCGCGTACCTTGACAGATTTACCATGTTATCCCTCACGAAAGAAATCTTTGCCATTAAGAGTGCTCTTAACTCAAGTCTATCAGTTCACTATCACAGATTTTACACCTCCTCAGCCCTATGATGTGAGGCTCATTCGCGCCTTAACTACCCTCCCCTCATCCTCCTCCTCTTCACCATCTCACTCTTACATATTCAACATCTCCAAGTCCCATATGGCCATGAAGAGGATTACCACGTCGTGTGCAAAGCGTAGGAGCCTGAAACCTACAAATGTCAAACCGTATCCGGATACTCGCCTCTGTTTACACAAGTACACAAGTACGACTGTGTGGGAGAAAGATCAACTGTATTAATTCAGCAGGTTCTTTAAATGAAGGCTTGGTTACACAAGCTCTTGCGCTTAAAATCATGACACCATTGCCATGTCAATGATTCCTCTTAATTTCACAGTAATTTGGGCTATTTTGACCTTACACGATTCTTTGTTAGCTGCACAACGTCCATTTATTGATATCAATCAATGTAAAGGCAAGGCATGGCTTAGTTTTGTGTGCTTTCCTCATTTTGTCTGAATATTGCACCTGGAATTTTTGTTTTCTTATTCTTCTCCGATTCTCATTGT